ACACACATACACACGCACATACACACGCACATACACATACACATACACATACACATACACATACACATACACATACACATACACATACACATACACACCACACACACACACACACACACACACACACACACAACACACACACACACACACACACACACACACACACACACACACACACACACACACACACACACACACACATATATATATGCATACAATATTTTATAATTGTTTTCTCGGGTAAAGAAATGAGTAAGAGTAAAAGAGTAAAAAATAACCAAAAAACAATGAGGGAAGGAAACGACTGAGTATAAAGTACAGTATTTTTATTGTTGTTATGGATATGGGTATGGATATTTATTTTCTTTTAGAATTACTATTTTTGTTGAATTTTTCTTCAGTTTAGATACAAATTCTTTTTATTATTAGTTGTGCGGCTTATAGTTATTCAAAAAGTAAAAATCCGTAAATTTTTCACACTGCCAGTCTTTCTAACATAAACTTATGAAAAACAGGAAACCAGTCTGCATCCTGTTAAATAGCTTTCTCAATGACTAAGTGTCTCGAGTGTAACCTTTTTAGAATTTGTTTTAAAATTAAAACTATGTTCAAATTTCTTAGGTACTGGTAAACTTACATATTAAGAATTAAATTCTACTGTTCTTCAATACAAGATTGGATTTCATTTTTAGAATGTGACATATTCATTACTAATTTTGTTTCCCTAAGAAGTACTTTTATGATACATGCTTTTGAGATGTAATGCTTTGAGATTGATTATATGTTATTTACTATATATATGAAGAATTAAACACTACTCTGGTGTTTAACCCAATGCTGCCAGGGATGGCATGTATGTACATGACATGCCCACTGTGATTTTAGTTTAGATGGCTCCACAAGTAGTAAGTCACCAGTGACCCAGCTGCAAGTACTACCTATCTCACTGGTTTACTCTTTTCCTTGATTTTTGGAAATATCATATGGTATCATATTGCTATTAATGTCAGTAACACTAAAGTAATTTTAATGTCCCACAAATTCAAGGAAAGGTGAAATTATGTGAGGTCACAAGGTCTACTAATTGACTCCTTTGTATCTAAGCACTTGTTGAGCTATCTGTGTGCAGAAACATTTCACAAAAAACATTTTGTGATGTATGCTTATCATCTGTAGAGCTTTTAGATTGATTATGTGCAGTTTACTATACCAAAATGTATAGAGAGAGGGATAGATAGAGCATAAAATGTTTCCAGAATGATTCAGACTCTATGTATACTTAATTTTCTCGTCCTCTCCTCAGCTGGTGGTGTTGAACAGCGAGGGCCATGATTATCAGCTGGAAGTTCCCACAGGAACAACAGTGGAGAGGATAAAAACCATGGCCATTGGACACTTCTTCAATCCCTTAGAACTGGAAGGAATCAGTGTAACAGATGACAAAGGGGATACTTCTAAAACGGGTAACAAAAGCAGGACCTACTTTTGGTGCTGGTGTGGTCGACACTGTTGGATGTTAACTCTCTCCAGCTTGAACAGCTTATAGATAATGGTAAATGGTATAAGTGATGCTTTAATAATGATGTGTGACTGAGTCTATACATCTACATTTCAAATGTATTGACATATGCACAATTAACATGGATACAGACATACATGCAAACACACTTAGAACACACATATGCCCCTACAAACAAACACACACCTCTACAAGCATGTGTACATATGCATGCATGCACACACGCACGTCACACTCATACTTCTTTAAAGTATTTCTCCAGTATTGTTAGAAATCTATTGTTTAATGATATTGTAAAATCTGGAATTGTGTTGTGTGGTGCTTTTCTTTTGAATTGACTACTCTGATTCCTATTGACCCCTCTGAGGGAGTGCAGAGGCAGTCTAAAGAGCCCTGACATTGGTGACAATACCATGATTAGACAGTTGGAAAAATGAAACCATGAGACTGCAAAGGGGAGTAAAATGCTTGATGTTAGAGGTTTGACTTTCCTGCACTACATTCAGGAGCAGGAGAGGATTAGATGTGAGGAGCTGTTTCAGTACCACTGGAACAGGGAGAAGCAAAGGAAGGAGCAGAGTCTGTGATGGAAAGAGCAGAGACTATAATTAAGGATTGTAGATGCTCCAACAGTGTTATAAACAGATAATGCATTATGATATAAGATTTCAGATCATGGCAAGCTTTTAATGAAGCACTGTAAACAGTGACATGATTAAACTCTATGGTCAGAGTTGTAGTCAAGCTCTTTTAAAGACTCAGACAACATAAAATCAAGTAATTTAGAAACCTCAGCAATGTAAAGTCAAGCATTTTAGACACTTAGCTTACTACTATACTGGTCCTTTTTCAGATGAGTTGCTCTTGGTTGATGGCCGTGAAGCTCCACCTATCAGGGAGCCAGCACCAGAAGAGATGACTATCCCTACAATGAGAGAGATTGCTGAAGCCACAGTAAACCTCGCAAAACGCAACCACAACCGCGACCCAGATCCAATGAATCATTCGACTGATGTTAGTTTGGATTTTCTTTTATAACACCTTGGATCTGGGTGATGTGACTAACACATTCAATAATTAGCTTAGGGCCAGGTGACATGAACATGGAATCATGGAAAAATTTGAGGGCTGGGTTAATGGGAACATGGTGTCATATAAAATATTAGGTTAAGAGCTAGATGATGTGAACATGTTATGGTAAAATTTGGCTGAGAGCTGGGTAAACGTGAACATGATGTTACATAAAAATTTGAATGAGAGCCTGGTTGGCATGAAAAGCGTCATGTAAAAATTTAGCTGACAGCCGAGTGAGGTGAACATGGTATCATGGATAAATTTGGTTGAGGGCCAGGTTGACAAGAACATGCCATCATGAGAATTTTGGCAAAAGGCCAGGGAGACAGTAAAGATTTGCCATGAGTGCACAAGGCTCTTGGATGGCAATTAGGCTCATACTTTTGCATTATTTCTATTGGTTAAAGGGTGAAATGTAACATTTTGTGAGCCATGACTACGAGTGCTGGCTCTAGAGAGGACACTCTTTCAATGCCCAGGATCCTGTTCTGCCTGCAGTAACCGTTGACACAGGGTGTATCACAGAAAATTGAATATTATGAAAATATAAAGGAAATTACTCAAATAACAGAATGTTACTGATGTTATGGCAGAGAATTATAGACTACCTAGAGAGATGATATAGAGTCTGTTCAAGGAAAACATTTTTACATCTTGATACATCAAATGACAAATATAGAACTTGGAAAATGGCAAAGCAAAAAATCCTTTTGTAGAAATAAAAGAAGATAAGTGCAGTGTCAAGACTCAGTGTCAAGTTATCTTCTTTTATTTCTACAAAAGGATTTTTTGCTTTGCCATTTTCCAAGTTCTATATTTGTCATTTGATGTATCAAGATGTAAAAATGTCTTGACACTGCACCTAAGTGCTTGTGTGCACTTGGCCTACAAGCTACACACCCAGGAGAGTCGCATATGAAATAAGCCTAAAACCCAGATTTAGGGCCATGTACGGGCACAGAAGCACTTGGATCCAATGTGTTAGATTTTTTTTATGGTTAACTGCCCCCCAATTCCTTGCCCGTTGTTGTCGTGGGAGGGCTTAAGAGACAGAGACTGAGATCCAATGCGGGAGATCTCCCCCGCCTTGGATCTCAGCCCTTGCCCCAACTAATTTTGCACGGTCTTTTTCTCCTTCTTCTTTCTCTCTCTTATCTTCCCCAACCCTTCCCCTATCAACCCCTAAGATGTAAGAGCCGTGTTGAAAGGATGAAAGGCTGACCTTGTGCCAGTCATGAACGGCCTCAGAGAGCCGTGGGCACGGTATTCCTTGATAAATCATTTGACCCTTACCCTTTACAGGGACTCTGAGGGGTGGACCGTTTACCTTCCCCACATAAAACCAGGCTTTCCATGGCCAGTAATGAAGATTTTGTACCCTTATTAGGGGCATTGAGGCTTGCCCTTTTATCATACAGCCTCTCTGAATCTGAAACCTCTAGTTTACCGACCCCTGACTAACCTTTGACCACGGCTCAGAACACTACTATTACACCACCCTCCTCTATACATACTACCAACCTAACCCATCCTGAATCATCTACCCAGATACTAACTCAACCCTTAGAAGATATTCCATCCTCACTCCCAACATCATCCAGCCCACTTCCTGAACAATCTTCTTCACATTATACCCAAACCTCCCTTATCACAACTCTTCAATCATATCGCCCACACCTCCATAATAAAACCTCACCTCACACCACTCCCTCCTCCTCCCGCCCTCGCCCCTCTACAATTTCCACTTCCTCAAGCTTTTTGAATAATCTGTTTAAACCAGCCAAATGGGACCAATACTTTGTGGTTCCCCCAACAGCCCCTCACTCAGATACACCTACTCTCTTTCAACAATGCCTCCAAAAACAAGTTGGCAAAGTTTTCTTCCTTATTTGTCCTGATCGATCACGGTTAATCACAGTTACATCTGAGACTCAAGCTAAAGCACTATCTACCCTGGTTGACCTCACTGGCAAACCTATACCTGTTCTACCTCACCCTTCCCTTAATATATGTACTGGAACTGTTTCCCTCTTCTCAGTTGATTGCTCTGTCTATGAAAAGTGCTGGACAGACTGTAAAAATTACCTACTTGGTTGCCTCACTGAATATGATGCTGAATAAGTACAGTGCTACTCTATTCCCCCCAGAGGCAATCGTAAGTCCAGCTTCAATATTGCCAAGATTACCTTTCGTAGACACGACCTTCCCCATAAGGTCTATATAGGAGGGGTTCCTTGCCATGTAAGACCATATCAACCCCCACCACGCCAATGCCAGAAATGCTGGCGGTTTGGCCACCCTGCAAAGCACTGTCGGTCTACAACCCGCTGCCTACTATGTGCGCAACCTGGTCATGAGTGTACAAACTGCCCTGCACAATCACGTACATGTGCAAATTGTGGCAGACCTCATAATGTATTCTATAGAGGCTGCACAGCCTACAAATTTGAGAGTGAAGTAGCAAATCTCAGATTCAAACTAGGACTCACTCTACAAGAAGCCAGACAAGAAGCACGACGAAGAGGTTTTTCAATCACAACATACTCCAGTACCTTACATCAATCCACTCCCATCCATACTACCCAAGTGGTCTATACATCTACAGCACCACTTTCCCCTTCTCCTCAACTTCCCATCTCTAATTCTCATATCCCCCAATCAAATCCTTTTTCCATCCTAAATCCAGATACTCCAATATCCATAACTCCCATGTCTCTTCCTACTTCACGCCTTGCCAGTCGCATTAGACAACCCAAACGCCCCACCCCATCCTCTCCTACCAGATCCCATCCAACACCTACACCCTCAAATTCTCAGATACTGATCTTCTCTTCACCTCCCCATAAAAGATTTTTCTTTTCCCAAACCTCTCCACCCAAATCCCCCCAGAAACCCTTGAGGACATAACACAAGAGAAAGTCCCTCCTTCTAAATCATCCATTAATTTCTCTACTCAGACTCTGGCTGCATTCACAGTGACTGCCGAAATCCATCCCCCCCTCCTGACATCCCCCCTACCCCTCTTCCTCCCACACCTTCCCAACACACCCTATCCTCTCCACCACCCGTACCTAAACCAAAAACCCTTCCTTCCCTACTATCCCTACCACTCCCTCCTGGATACACACGTGAATCCCTTCTAGCACAATGTCCTTCCCCAGATCCCACCTTTTTTGATGAACCTCCAGATTCTATACCTTCACCTTTTACCCCTGTCCCCCCTTCCCATGATGATTCTCTTGATACTACACTACCACCTCCATCCCCTGTTCCCATACCTCAATCCCTAGATACCCCTCCTCTTACCTCTCAGATACATATTGTCACCCATAATATTTAAAGAATGATCCACAATGGCTCTACTGCAGTGGAACATTAGAGGCTTTCGCTCACACAGACCTGATCTCCGCCATCTTCTCTCCTCTTACAATCCATCTATTGTCTGCCTCCAAGAAACCTTCCTCACACATCCTCCAGTACCAATTCGCAACTACCATTTTGTGTCACTCCCTCATTTTATATTTGCTTCTTCCATACGTGTTAATCATAAAACACCATATATCATACCTCCTTTACAAACCACTATACCTTGCACAGTTATCCGGATTTTCCTCCGCCGCTGGATCACAATCATTTCAGTCTACTTCTCTCCTTCCCTCCCTATTGACTTCCTAGAATTTGAGACCTTACTATCCCAACTCCAACCACCTCTCCTAATAGCTGGAGACTTTAACTGTCGCCATACTCTTTGAGGTAACTCTATTATCAATACAAGGGGTCGCTCCTTAGAACAATTTCTAACTAAAACTGACCTTATCATCCGAAACTCCAATAGTCCCATTCATTTCGACCTACGCACTCAATCTTTTTCATGCCTAGGTCTCTCTCTTTGCTCCCCTATCCTTCATATAGACTTCCACTGGTCTGTCCTAAACAATTTTCACTCTGGTGATCACTTCCCAATTCTTTCTTCAACATCCTATATCCCGCTCCCAGACCCCCCTCGCTGGTGCTTTGACAGAGCAGACTGGAATACCTTTACCTCTCTATCTACTCTTGAAATTCCTCCATCATCATTCTCTACCACCTCAGAAATGCTCCAATACTTCACAACTAAAGTCCTAAATACAGCTTATATAACCATCCCTCGAACATCCCGACCTTACACCTCAAAATGTGTTCCATGGTGGAACCTTGAGTGTACAAAAGCACTTCGTCTGAAGCGCGCAGCTTGGAATAGCAACCGACACAAAAGAGGCACCCCCAGTCAACTAACAGCCTTCATATCTTTTAAAAAAGCATCAGCCTATCTTTGTCGTACATTTCGAAACTCCATGACAAACAGCTGGCAAAACTATGTATCCTCCATAACATCCTCCAAACCAATCTCTGCAGTCTGGCGGTGGATCCATAAGTTATCTGGAAAACATCCTCCTCATCCTGCATATTCATAATAAGCTCATCTTTGACCCTCTTCAAGTAGCTACTGAACTTGGTGCCTTTTTTAGCCAAGTCAGTAGTGGCTCTCATCTTTCTCCTCATTTCTCTTCTTTAAAATCAGACAAAGAGCGCACTCCTATCTCCTTCTCCTTATCATCTACAGAACCTTATAATGCACCCTTTTCTTCTTCTGAGATCTATAATGCACTTCAGTCATGCCGCAACACCCATGAAGGACCGGACGGTATACATTACCATATGATAAAACACCTTTCTCCTACTTCCTTATCCTTCCTTCTATCAATATTCAATAACATATGGACGACTAGAAACTTTCCTCCCCACTGGTGAGAAGCCATAGTATTACCTTTCCTGAAACCTAACAAAACAGGTACTCTTCCCCAAGACTACCACCCCATAGCCCTAATAAGCTGCCTATGTAAATTAATGGAACGGATGATAAATTTCAGATTGATGTAGTACCTAGAATACCACCAAATCATATCGCCAAACAAATTCGGATTTCGTTGAGGCAAAAGCACAGCTAACCCACTAGCATATGCAGAAACACTAATCACTTCAGCATTTGCACGCCGCGAGTCAGTATTAGCTGTCTTTTTCGATCTCGAAAAAGCATATGATACTACTTGGCGGCACCATATACTACAACAGCTATGTTTCCACGAAAAACGTGGAAACATGGGTGTTTTTCTAAAATCCTTCCTCTCTGACCGCACCTTCCGTGTCAGATTTGCCTCTTCCACTTCCCCCTCCTTTCCTCAGTTTGAAGGTGTCCCACAAGGCAGTGTACTGAGCACCACACTATTCCTCATAGCTGTAAACGGATTAATATCCGCTTTACCACCAAAAATCCGTTCAGCACTGTATGTAGATGACCTAGCCATCTTCGCCTGCGACCGTTCCATAAAAGATCTCCATCAACTTATACAGTCGTCAATAACATCAATCTCTTCCTGGGCTACTAACCATGGCTTTCGTTTCTCTACTTCTAAAACCTTCTCCATCCTTTTCTGTCATTCACGTATAGGCTCCCAACCTCCACTCCTCCTTTATGATACCCCCATCCAATCCCGATCTTCCGGCAAGTTTCTTGGAGTTATTTTCGACTCCAAGTTATCTTGGTGGGATCATATCTTTTCTATTAACCCGTTGGTCGCGGTATTATGCAATGTGGCGCGTATTCCCCTAATTTTATTTATTTTTAACTCGGGTGGCGCATGGGACTGCATTGGAGTGTGCGCGCGCGCGGTGGTGCTGCCTTCCCTCTTTCGCGCAAATGTGTTTGTTTATTTATATCTCAGAAAAAAACAAGTATGCAAAATCTGCAAATATTTGCAAAAACCCTTGCAAATACATGCAAACATGCAAACATATGTAAATGCGCTCAGAAAGAGTGGCGGGCCTGGTTTTAGCACGCACAATAGGCGAACAACTCATTTGGCAGTAAATAGCCCATCGCACACGCGGGCCCGGGGGTGGTGGGCCTGGGCCCTGTAAGGCTGCAAGGGGAATGCCGGCTTAGCTGCTAATATTCCCTGGCCCACTCAGCTCCCATGCCGCACAGCCGCGCAGCCGCCCGCTGCTCGAAGGGGATCGGCTGTCAATTGCACGGTGCATCATATGATGCCATCCGCAGCCAGTGGGTTAAAGAAAAAGCTCGCCATCGCCTCCGACTACTACAAACCCTCTCCCACCTATCCTGGGGATCAGACCGCAAAACACTCCTTCATCTCCTTATTACTCTAATCCTCTCCACCCTTGACTATAGTTGCCATATATATTCTTCTGCCTCTGCCTCTCTTCTCTCTCTCCTCAATCCTATCCACCATTGCGGTCTCCGCTTAGCCCTAGGAGCTTTCCGATCCTCTCCAGTTGAGAGCTTATACATTGAATCAGGACTACCATCCCTCTCTAGACGATGCGCCCTTCTGTCCCTAAGAAACTACGCTCGCTTCCACCAATTTTCACTCTTCAAACAAACTGTCCCTCAACCTCTTCTTCGCATCTTATCTTCCTCTCCACGACTACCTGTCCCTTTCCCTGTTCGTATGGACGCTCTTCTCTCCCATTCATCCTTTCCTCATCTCCGAATTCTTCCTCTTTCTACCCAAACTTTCCCTCCCTGGCTAGGACCAGTCTCTTGTAATTGCTCCTCTATTTTCCCTGATCTACCAAAGTCAAACATCAAACTTCTATCCTTGTCATACATTTCCTTGCTCATATCTCTAGTCACTCCTCTAGCACTCATATCTATACTGACCGGTCTAAATCCAACTCAGGTGCTGGTTTTGCCGTAGTCTTTCCCTCTCAGACATACAGCTTTCCTCTTCCATCTGAATCAAACGTCCTTACAACAGAACTATATGCTATCCTCTTTGCTCTACAACGCATATCTTCCATCTCTTCCTCATCCTTCACCATCTTCAATGACTCACGTAACTCAATATCAATCATACAATCCATGCACCCTACCTATCCTATAGCCCATAAAATACACGACCAGCTATACTATCTGTCTACACGACAGAAAACAGTGAATTTTTGATGGATACCCAGCTATGTCGGGATTCCCGGCAATGAAAAAGCATATAACAATCTGCTACCCTGCCCACAAGTCACCAACCCCGTTTTTCACACATTCCAGCCACCGACTACTACCCTCACTTCAAAACTTTTCTTTACAACCGATGGCAATCCTTCTGGTCATGTCTGTGCACCAACAAACTCCAAACCATAAAACCCTCAATCTCCCCTTGGTCAGCTCCATACCATCAAAACAGATGTTAGGAAACTGCCCTTGCCCGCCTACGAATAGGCCACACCAGAATCACTCACTCATACCTCATGTCACATCCCTCTAACCTACCTCTATGCCCTACATGCAATGTCCGTTTCTCTGTCCCACATATCCTAATATCTTGTCCTCGCTTTACCGAAGCCCGTATCCTTACTTTTCCTCACATATCCCATCTTCTCCGACCCCCCAACCTGTCAGACATCCTTACAGAATCCCCCACCTTTTTTATTGATAATTTATTCTCCTTCCTCAGACGCATAAATATCCTTCATTTGATCTAATCACCCATCGTCCTTAACCCTTCCCCTTCTCATCAATACCTATCCTACTCCCATCTACCATCTCCTACTCCTTTAAATACTATACTATCATAAAATAAATAACCATTGAAACTTAACATTTTAATTGTAATAAAGAATTTAAAAACCCTCCTAACACAATAGAATACCATAGTGCTATATGACCTTTCATGTCTAGCACATTTATTTTCTTGTCATTATTACTTACATATGGTTAACTGTAGAATTGATTTTAATTAATTTTTGTTGATTTCTAATTGTAGAGAGATAGTATAATGATATATATATATATATATATATATATATATATATATATATTATATATATATATATATATATATATATATATATATATATAATATATATATAATATATATATATATATATATATATATTATATTATATTATATATATGTATATATATATATATATATATATATATATATATATATATATATTATATATATTATATTATATATATATA